TCAAGCACTAATCAACTTCTTCTGCAGCTATATTGCCCATTATCAAGACATGATGTAAAACCCTTTCCAGCAGACACTCTGAGATATTATCAGTGACTGACTAACATCAACTAATTTCCAGGATCTAGTTACAAGATAAAATAATGTGTTCAAAAGAACACATTATGAAATTTGAAGGTTCCCAGAATCTCTGATGGTTGTCTTGCAAAGGTTATAAGGAGGAGACGACTTCCCTGGTGTCATGAAAAGTTAGCTAAAGGATGCATTTATCATAGCACCCTTCAAGATCAGAATTCTGGAATAAATGACATGATGCTAAAAGACCGACATATAAGGCTACAAAGGAACACATTTGTATGAATGATGATACAGAACTGTTTCCAGCTATGCTTTGCAGAAACAAAGTATTCTAGAGAGTATTCCCTCTACAGAAGCAGTTTGTTGGGAAAGCCAATAACTTGAAGCACAATGTTCTGCTAAACTTTTAGTCAAATTCGTTGCTGTGTTTCTGTAACGCAGACTTGCTTATGTCTCCTTTCACTGGTGTACAAGAGATCTGAGAGTGTGTCGTCTTTTAAGTTGCTCAGTTTGGAGAGATGGTAGAACACTCCCTCCATGTAATTAGTCCTCAACAGCTCCATGCTCTGCTCACACAGCCCTTCATCTTCAACTAGACCCTTTGAAGGCTGTAGAGTTAGACTGGGTGTTCATGATTGATTCTAGCAGACCAGCTGAGCTGGTAAAGAACTGAAAAGATATGTATATCTTTGGAAACACATTTTAAATTAAATAAGGCTTAGTGCATGGCCAACGATCAACGAAGGATGATAATTGACTGAACAGTAAGAAGTAAGATGGAGGCTCGGTGACTGGCTGCAGATGGTCTGGCTTCAGGCTGGCCTAGAGAGAGGTGTACTGATGGGTGACAGCCAGTGATGGCAGCTTGTCTGAAGGGGGAACTGAAGATAACCTGGGAGATTTTGAAATCTGGTAATCGCTCAAAGAAGTGAAATGGGACAAAAGACTGACAGCTCCACTCATTCTCATTTGATTGGAGATGGAAAACTGTGTGCTTGATAAGGTCTTGATAAGTCTTTCAAACTTCATTAATGGAAATATTTCAAAGACAAGGACAAATAGAAGTTTGGGATGGGATCAAGGGACTGGGTGGCATCTGAGGAACCAATCACACTTTGATAAAGCTCTGGATGACACTTGAAAAGACCATTCTCGAAGGGCTTTCGTATCGGTTCGGTTTTTCAAAAATGAAACTTCACCTCAGATTAGGTAAGAAGGACGATGACAGCTGGTTGTTGCTATCAGGCAGCCGTCTGCCTGAAAATCTTTCCAAATGGAAAATACAGATATTTCAAATGGAACTTTCAGATGAGTTTTAGAGAAGATTAAATGTGACAAAAGTGTTAAATAAATGTTAAAGGTCCAGTGTATAACGTTTAAGAGAATCAGCTGGCAGAAATGAATAAGATATAATATTTATACGTATGTTTTCATTAGTGTATAATTACCGTAAAAAAAAAAAAAAATGCAGCTACACCAGTAGGTGCCACCAAATCCTAGACATTGGTCTTTTAAATAAGTAATGGAATATATCTAAATGCAATAATAATAATAATAATAATAATATAGTGTACTATCACTTGTTTAATTGTTTCTTATTTTATTTTAGGGAAATAAATGCCTTTTCATTTGACTTTTATTTGCAACGCAATGGCTTCCTATTAGACTATATTGTTCTCAGCTCTGGCATATAGGATATGCTATCCTTTATAGAACTTTCATCTGATTGTGGTTTCTTAGCTTTTGGTAGTGTCTCAGACTGTAGTATTTTTTTTCTTTTGGAAAAATAAAAGAATTAAAGCCTAAAGACCAAACCTAGTTTAGGGCAGACCTGGAAAGACGAGTGCAGTAGTGTTTTCATTTCCTGATATATAGCAGTAGTTATTAATGGGACATGAAAAATAATCAAAATTTTGTACAAATCCAATATGTAGAACTGAATTGACATAACGACAGTATGGTACTGACTCCATGTCAGTGAATGCATCTTGCTCTTAGTGTAAAGTGTTTCACATTTACTTTACTTCTATTAGAAGGTGAATGTACATGATTGGGGAAATTGTATGACTGCATAGTTTCATTAAATAAAACTGGTCATTATAACTAAGGTTAAACACAGCAGATGCAGCAGAAAAGAGAGTCAAATGAGAGAGGTGGTTGGGGAACTGTTTTCCAATACATTGATGGTTAGGGCCATATTTTTTTCTGTGTGTCTTAAAACAACAGTCAGGTTCAAGTATGAGCTTTTATACAGGGTTTTCTTGCAGTAATGATTCCTGATCGTACTGGCCATTCTGGGCCTTCCTGATGGGAGATGAAAACAGGCTGTGTAATGTATTACAAAGTTTATCAGTTTCTAGAGTCTGACTTAGTCAAATAAAGCGAATATCTTCCAAAGTTACATTGTTTTTATAAAGAAATTCCCCCTGTGAGAGGGGATCTCTTAATGGCAAACTTTGGCAGACTAAAAATCGAATAATTTTACATAAAGGCAAGTAGCACCAGCAAAAACCACATACAATACAGTGCTGTTTATTACCTCGAAATTGATGTAAATTCAGCCACTCCATTATTTTAATTAAGTGTGGAGGGAATGGGGGGGTCTGCTTAAATGAAAATAAGTTGTGTTAACCATATTGTATTAAAATATGAACGCATCAATGCAATTTTACCATAATGGTGCTTTGCTGGGCTCTCTCAGATAAACAATGCAGGCACAACATCAATTTAATTTGATGCCATCTAGTCTCAAAACTGCCTTGATAATTATATTTGAACATTGAATCATTTTCATTCAGCCTCCCACTGAAACTGATGTTCCCTCATTGTCTGAACCTTACAAAATCCAACCCAGAGAGGACCAAACAGAACTGTAATGTTCTAACTCTGTCAATGTTTAATTAACCAAGAATTACTTTTCATTCAGAATCATGATACAGGCTTTTTTTGCCACTTAAAATGTCAGCATTGTCATGATCATTATTGCTGAGCTGCTTTTAACTTCACATTTTCACCAATGAGTGTAGACTTGTTTAATAATATGAAGGAGAGCGTGTAACATTTAGGAGAATCTATTGGCAGAAACAGATGCCATGTCCAAGTCATTCATAAGTATGTTTTAATTACTGGATAATCTGCTGAAAATAAGAATTGTTGTGTTTTAGTTACTTTAGACTGCACCCTTCTTATGTACAAAGGAAACAGACAAACCAAACTCTGGCTCTAGATAGGGCCTTTCCAATGTAGTTTTTCCTACAAGCTTGGAAGACTGAGCTGCATTCAACTGGTCACAATATGCAACTTCACCACTAGATGCCACTGAATGCTGCACACTGGTCCTTTAATATTCATATTGAACTCTATATTAAAGGTCCAGTGTGTAGGAATTACTGGCATCTAGTGGTGTAGTTGCAGATCGCAACTTGCACACTTCACCCTGTTTTTAGGAAGAACTAAGGTGGATGTGAAATGCACCAAAAACGCAAATGCCTCTATTTGGAGCCAGTGTTTGATTTGCCCATCGGTGGGCTACTGTAGAAATGTGACGATTCAACATGGCTGAGTCCATGGAAGGCAACCCGCGGTGCCTGTAGATATAAACGGTTCATTCTGAGGTCAAAAACACAACGATTCCTATTTTCAGGTGATTATCCACTGATGCAAACATACCTAATATCTTTATTACCACATTTTTAAAATAATGAGATAACATCAGAATATACTCTTATATTTAAATGTATTCAGAGTTTTCATGTTTTATTGTCTGACAGTATTGAAGCAAAGTAGGTTCAGTGCGCCTTTTTTTCCCCCAAAGTGATATAAATTCATTACAAATATAAAATACTAATTCAAGTATTTGCCATCTTCAAGTCAATATTTAGATTAACATTTGGCAGCTATATCTCATTTTCACTTTGACTTGACAAAACGCACAAGTGGAATTAGAAACATTAATGATGGCTGTATTCCATTTAGGTGAGCCAGTTTAAGTCCTTCGCCATTGTGCATGCTCACTCACTGACAGGGCTTAAAAGGGCACAAATGGAGCCATTGTTAATGTTATTATTTACACCTGTGCTTTTCCTGCTTTGATAAGTCAAAATGTCTACCGTGAAATGGATCCATTCCAGCCTTGAACCTTTTTCCGTTGTCCATTGCTCAAGCTCTGTCAGGTTGCATGGGGATCCTGGATGTGTTTCTTGGTCCTGAAACCTGGACCTTCCAGATACAGGCGTATTTCAATCAATTAAAACCACCACACTACACACAGCTGAGCACTGATTAACTAATTAGATGACTTCAAGAACCAAATCACTGCACCAGTGATCATAATGGTGTGTACAGAGGAGGAATACTTACAGTATGCAAACATTTACTGGTAACTTAGTCATAATATCTGTTTTACATTACATGTTTATTTTCACTTTGACATTAAAGGGTTTCTTTGTGTTGATTGGTGTAAAAAAAAAATTGCAACATTAAATCAACTTTGTTTCAATCAATCTAACATGAAAACAAAAAGGGTGTTAATGATGTTTATAGTGAGTAGTCTGTTTATTATTGTAACATTGTGGTAGAAACCTTATCATTTATACTTATGTATTTATGTATATTATTCTATATATTTGTGTATTTAAGTATATAATTCTATTGGTTTTGTTTATTTTAGAATTTTAGAATTCTGGCTTTATTAACTTCATTGTTATTCTAACGAGCCAATCATTCTTAATGTATATTTTGATGTTATAGCCTTTGGATTTGGATCGTATAATTCTCTCATGTTGCTGTGTAGTTCAGCAGTCCTAATATGAAAAGTCTAGCTGTAATCACTGTTGATTGCATGCAGTTTCTGCAGGTGTCAGTATGACTGTAGCCGGTAGGAGGGACTTGATGCTCCAACTTCTCATTTTGTGTCTCTCTGCTCTCCAGTCAGTCGTCCTGGTCCTGCTTGGAGAGAGACGACGACATCAGCAGCAGCACGGCATTCCGGTGAAACACCATGCATCTTAGGCTGAAAAGACGACCGGAGCCTCACATTATTTCGCTTTCCTATTTTTGATTTCCGTTTTTTTGTTTCGCCTTTTCTTTCTTTTATTCCCCCCCTCCCTCCTCCTTTTCACCCAGTCTCTGACGCGCAAGGACACTACAGCATCCATCCACGGCAGAAACGCTCGCATAGAGCATCCTCTGTACAGACGCACCACCATCCTCCTCCTTCTTTCCTTCCTCCTACTCTCCTCCTCTCCTCTCTCCTGTTCTGTTCTAACCCAGAGGACATCGGGACCTCTTCTCCCCCCCTTTTGCCCGGAGACATGGATCTATGGTTTCATTCGATCCGGATTTGCTGGTGGAGGGTTTTGTTTCTGATGAGTGTTTTCCAGGACTATCTGAGCTCCATGCTGGACTGCCCGCCGACCTGCAGCTGCTCTCAAACAGAGATCTATTGCAATAAGTCCGACAACGGCAGGTTTTTCCCTTTACTCGCCCTGCAAGACACTGGGAGCAATGGGACCACCGTTGACATAGCAGAGTTATTCAAAAACATCAGCTCTATGTAAGTAGATGCGGATTTTGCCGTGCGTTTTTTTTTCTTCTTTCTAATCATTAATTGATCCTCAGTAAGGCGTCTGTGCTTTCAGGGTGTCTGTTGCTTTCTTTGCACTGATTTGACTTGTTGGCTGTTTATTCCTCATATTGAGACTTTTTGCACTTCTATCAGTCCGTTAAGTGGCCTTTTATGGTAACATCATGCTTGATAATCTTGTATGGAGGTTAAATGCGCTCATTCTGCCCCGCGTCTCCCCTGCACAGTCAGACAAATCCATTTCAACCTTGTGGCAAAAAAAAAAAAAAAAGTAGCCCACTTGATCTTGAAGCCTGGTATGGTGACTGTCGGATTTTACGTGTGTGTGTGTGTGTGTGTGTGTGTGTGTGTGTGTGTGTGTGTGTGTGTGTGTCCTCATAAAGTTGCTCCTCTGCAGCGGCTCCGCAGGCCTACACGGCCGAATGACAGGAGGATGTTGCGGAGAACCTCACATCACCCATTCACTTGATTCCCGTCCGCGTGTGCAGCAACTGCTCCGACAGATTGTGCTAAATGGATCAGAAAGAAATGGTGCAGTAAGGTCAAGCAGTTACATTTCAGCCCGCATCCCCTGAGACCGACGCGACCTGACAAACTTTATTATGTCCAGATGATGGGGGGGGGGTCGAAAACGTCACTTGTGGCTTTTTTCCCCCTCCCCGCCGCCCCCCCACCCCTCAAAAGACATGGACATGTAGCAGGATGCTCGGCTTTTTGAGGATTCATGAGCTTAAAACAGAGGAGCGGTGATGACGGCAGACTCTCCAACCCCCTCAAACACACACCCACACACCCCCAGAAGTACATTTTCATTCTGCATCCTCTCTCTCCCCCCCTCCCTCCTCTCTCCCTTCCTCCCTCCCTCCCTCGCTTTCCCTGGCATCGATCCTTCCTGCCAACATCAAAGCTTTCTTTCTTGAAAAGTCAGGGAAAAAAAGCAGGGCTCGGGCCTTAAAATAAGACCTCTGGTGTCGATGGGGCTGATTTGCATATAAAGTAAACATCTCCCCGTTAACGCACTGGAATTCCCCGCACGGCTTCCTCCGCGCCGTCTTACGCCACAAAGGACTTTTCCTCCCATCAGTTTCGGTATCCGGTTTACCCTTTATCCGTTTGAGGGAGACAACAACTTATTTTGTGACACGGTTCATCGCTTCCCTGTGCCACTAGAGGGTAGCCTGGTACCCTCTATACACTGGGAATCAAGTACTCTTTGCAACACTGGAGTCATTTACGTGACTGTTTGATCAGAGAGAGTTTTTAGTCAAATCAGGCACAAAATGAAGCTCAGCCACATTAAAAGCAAAGGATGGTAAAGAGATGATGGGCCAGGGGTCACAGCACGCTGTTAGTGATTACTGTAACCCTAGGGTGACCCTCGGATAAAGACTTCCTCTTTGTAGAACCATCTCTCCTCTCCGCTCCATCTCTTATCCGGTGAGATCAACAGTAGAATAACCCACCTCTTGGGTTATCATTATTTAAAAATGCCAAAAATTCATGTTACAACAAGGACACAGTCACACATTGCCTGCATTTTCGCCTTTGAGAAACCCTAATACAATTGACCCAGGACTAATTGTGCATTCCATGGCTCACCGCCAGCAGGCTGCTTGTTTTCTTGCTGCTCAGCATGGACAGCAACCTCCACCCAACACCACCAGCAGCTCAATGACAGCTTAGAGACAATACCTCCCAATGTCACATCACCTAATAGGAATTTATACATTCAAAACACACAGAGATGATTCATTATTTATACATGCAGTGTATCTGATAATCCACGGTGCCTGTTCAGCGCTATGTAATGTAATTATTTAAAAGTGTAAATATTGTACACAATTAACGATTTGACTTAAAACAATCACTTATAGAGCATCTATAAATGTATATCACACTAACTGACCTGTGAAAATGCACACCTCGAATTAATAATTATAGTTAATTGCTTGATGCGAATTTGTTATCTGGCTAGAAACCATGCTCTTGAAAAAGAATAACCAGTATCCATAGTAATACAGAGCAGTCAGTGACAGTACAAATGGTCTTTGGCCCTCTCTCTTTGTAAGGTGTTAGATGCATGGATTTTACTAACAAGAAGTCGGTTTCACTCATCACAAGGGAAACAGGGAGAGATGGGGACAATTTATGGAGATGAGAAACTAGAGCTCCTAGCAGGAGCTGTGGTGCGATTGGCCAGCCAAAGAAAACTGCCAAGTCCAGATAATAGTTTTCCAGTTCCCTCACATTAGAGATTCATCACAAGGGGCATCACTGTTTGAAGTGGATAAGATAAGGCCTTGCTGTGATACTTGAAGAAAAAACGGTTTTCTGAGAGCAGCTGAAGCATTTGACAGGTTTGTGTAAGTGCGGCTCTGACTGCAGGTGCGCGTTTGTTTGGAGAATCCAATCAGCGTTTCCACCTCTGGTGATGACGTTTGGCCTCATTTTATTTCCCTTTTTTGTACCTTTGAGAGAGGGGTTTGTGTGGAGAGACTAAAGTAAGTGGGCATCTGTACAGTCATCACTGTGGCGTCAGTTGCTAAATAGGCTATCTCCAGTATGTATTTAGATAAAAGATCACCTCATTTCCTCTGCTTTCAGTACATCTTTCCATTCTACTCTTAAGATGATAAGAAGATATGTATTCACCAACATCCATTCACTGCCACTGTTGAGACTGTCAAAGCACTGAACTATTCAATCAAATTGTGAGTGTTAGTAAAGTCAAAGGGTCCAATCTTTGATGGTGTAATAGTAGTAATAGTCTATAACAGTGAGATGGTAATATAATGTTGTATCCCCATAATAATCCTACAGCGACTCATCTATTGGTCAAAACATGTGATTCACATATAAAAAAAATGGAAACCTTGGAGCCTAACATCCTGTAAGATTATATTTCTTTATCTTTTGTGCACAAGATAAAAAAAATATCTTTCAGGACATTGAAACAGCTGTAACCAAAAAAAAATCTTAATTTTACAGATAATGACATGGTTCCATGGGCTGTACATGTCCACACAATATGCAGATTTTCTTGGGAGTGTAACATTTTACAATTTTCTATTCTACTTATCTCTAAAATTAGGTTAAACACAAGATTTTTTTTTTAAGATCTCACAATTTACCCCGAAAGTTTCTCTACATTGAGACATTGTAGCACTGTACGGTATATTATTAAAAATCTATGAATATTTGAATTATTTTTTTTTTATTTGTTGTTATTAGATATTAGATGTTAGTCCATTCTCAGTTAATGTGCACTGGAGGCTTCCATATTCCACCATCACAATTATGTAAGTAGGATATTGGACCATAATTGGCTGTCAAGCTCATGCATACACACCTTCAACTCAGATTTAAGGTGAGCACAGAAAAACAGCAGATTAATTTAAAAAATAACCTTCTAGTGTCAAACTCTGCACATCCATCATTCTGCACAGTGAAGCTCAAACAAGTGAAGCAACAATAAGCAACATGCATTTCTGAGTGAAGGGCGACTTTAATGATCCATGAATTAGTTATAGCTAGGGATGTCAGATTTGCAAACAAATCGAATCAAATCTTTTTGAACGACTCTTAAAGGGGAACGAGTTAACTCAGTTCATAAGCGGAAGTGAATCCAAAATGCTGCTTCTGTATGGTGCATCTGCAGTTGTGCATAAAAGCCAGGTTGACTGAGTCTCTCTGAGTCAGAAGTTAACTCGTTTGTTCTGCAGACGCCCCCTGAGCCGAAAAACGAGTGAGAGCCGCTGCTCAGCAACAGTCTCTCATTCAGCGAGCTTCTCATCATGTTATACAAACCCACTGAGCCGAAAAGCCGAGGACCCAGTGAGCCAGACTTTGGTGTCGGTTAGTTGGAACTCTCTGAGTCGGAAGTGAACAGGAACTGGCTTGCCAGGTAATCGATTTCGACTGAAAAATTTGCTAATAGTATGGTAAATGGTAGGATTGTTGCATTTAACAGCTACAATACGAAAAATTGCGTCTCCAAAATCTCCAAATGTGAGTTTGAAACATCCGGCCATGAGGACACTGACAGGCTCTGTAAGACAATCAACAAGTATACATTTAACATCCACTCATCCTGAATGTCCAAATCCATGTACCCTTTGATGTCTGATAATGTCATTCAAATGTATATCTTATTATTATGCATGGTATTGAGTCATTAGGGGACATTCTTATTAAATTAAATGTTAGAATCCGAAGCCCTCTATTTGCCTTTGAAATGAGAATGCTCTTCCAAAACGATCGTGGTTTTGGCTTCTTTAATGTCAACTCTTTTTTCAATCAAAGATATTTATGTGGTCTTGTAAAATTGCCATCTGTTTATCTGCAAACAAACTGAGACTTCCACACTCTAAAGTGGTTTACTGTTTATCTGCTTTGCCAAATACGTCTGGAAGTTTATCGTTTAATATCTTTAAAATCTTGATCATCCAGTCCATAAAAGACCGTGTTTTCTCACTTCCAAGGATTGAAGCTATCATTTCAAATGCATCATAATGTTATAGTTATCACGATTAATCTTTTACTTACAGATGGTGTCACTTTCAAATGATAGAAGATGATTTGGCTCAGGTTTTTTTTCAGTAACACTGAGCCAAAGGCAATCTTTGCAGGATAAAGGAGTAGTCTCCTGTGACTGACCCTGATCTCTGACCTCTGTGTGGGAAAAAGACAATTTCAGTGGTAATATGCTGTAAATAGGATCATGGGATATAGTGTGATCTAACAGGACAGGGTGTGTTTGAAAAAGAGCAAAATAAAATCAAAGTTGTCACATCCATCCCTCCACTGCTGTATATTTCACCAGCCATCACATTCAGCATTTACCCAAAAAGCTCTGGGTCAATGCCAGTTACTCTGCTTCCTTAAGAAGTTATTTTTTTCTCTCTCTCCCTCTCTCTTTTCTTTTTCAAATGTTAAAACTTGAAACTATCGATCTTTGAACACCTTCAACA